ATAGTCTTTGCATTATTCTTAAATAATTATTGTTTTACCAACTTATTTCAATACAAAAGATAATAAAAATTTGAATTCAATTTTTGCAGTAAATTTAACCCCAAAAAAGGAAAGAAGTAAATAAACTTTCTAATTCTTTCATGCTTTAATTTTGCTCTTTTTTTAAAAGAGACTTCCCTTAAATAATGAAAGCACTAAGAATCTATTTATTTATATGAAATCTGAACTTTAGTAAGACAGATAAGTTTAGAATTAGACTAAATACATAAATTATTATAAATTTATGAATTTATCTCTCTTCTTGAATATTATCTTTTTCATTTAACTTTTGTCCATTTAAGATTGGAGCAAAATATATTTACTAGATATATCCCGCCTAACATTGGAGACAGCAATGCGTGAATGCGTGAACTTACCATCTAATAAATTAACTTGACAAAACATGAACTCAAGTCACGCACATTTAAGATCCCAATTTTTTTTTCACCCCTTCCCTAATGATACGTCAATGCACATTTTTCATTCACGCCCACGAACTATATTAAATATTTTGATGTCCCATCCACTTTAAAACTGAACATTTTTTACACCATACTTAAATTGAGACAATCTGATTTTCCGAAAAGAAAATTTTAAGCGCCAAATGCAACTGCGTTATATAGATATAAAAAAAAAATCATTGAGCGTAGTTATCGGGAATTATATTTTCGCGCTATTGAACCCATTATTTAACCATACTTTCATTTAAACATATAACATTATTTGTAGAAGCTCTTAATACCATTTGGCTGATTAGGAAGCAGTCCAGTAGGAGGCAGTCATTAAGGAACAGTCCATAAGGAAGTAGTCCACTAGTCATAACTGAAGCGTAATATACATAAGAGATACCTATTGAAAAGAAAAAATCATTAATGCAAACATTTAATTTTTAAACATTGTCTTTCACATTTAAATGAATATTGTTTCTTTCCTGGAACTGGAAGAGATTTTCGGCGATGACCATATCTCTATGGACACGTTAATCGAGTGCTTTGCAATGCCTTACTTTACTTCATTGGGGGAAGCTTTAAAGCAGCACGACAAAAGGTAAAAACTGCATCGCAACTTGCGCCTGCGTCAATCTGATCTCGTTTTTTTTCCCCATTTACTATCGCTTTAAATACCAGCTTGTACAGGTAAACAGAACCGCCTACCGAGTCAATTAGTATAAAGGACTTAACACCAGCCTCCTCCACATAAACACTTTTTCTTCTTCTTCCTTCCAGCACAAAGTCACTCACAATCTTATTTAAGTTGCTAAATACTCAAATCGTTTTAACCATTTTCTCTAAATCGAAAGTAGATCTATGTTTCCATGTAAACAGCTGCAGAAACAAGAAGAACACAATCGCTACACTAAACAAAGTAGCCGCGAATTTTCATCCAATTAAGCAGACACAGGAACATGGCAATGTAAAAAAAAAGCCCCCCCTCCAACATATCCCCCCCCCCGAAAATACAGTTCCTCCTTAACATACATGCTAGATCAGTGTTTCCCAACCTGTTTTGGGCTGGTTTGAAATGTGCAAATGCTTTCACAGCATATCCTTAAAAGACCAAATCTGTTATGGTAATATTTTCAAAGACACAGTCCGCCATTATCTCTGGTTAGATGAACAACTTCCTATCTTTCTACGCATTCACCATCTTATGGATAGTGTAGTGGTCACATTTACGTAAAGTGTTAAAGCCCTAAATTTAACAGAACAATATAACAGATTGTGTTTTCACGTCAGCTAGATTGAACACATTTTCAACCATTTAAAAAAAATGTTTCTCAATAAAATAAATTAATTAATATAAACATTACTTGAGTTTTATATTAGCTCTTTGATTTGTTTTGTGTTTGTATATATGTTACGCCCAAAGTCCGAAACCGGCCAAAATTGGAACTGGCCAATATCGCCTCACATTGACTGGCCAACATCCGATAATTTCTTGATTTCGGGATTTGGCCAGCCAGTTTGCGAAATGGCAAGGGGCGTTCGGCCAAAGTCGGAAGAGAACGGTCATGAGAAGAATTTGGGTGATAGTATATCGTATTGATAATCACATTATATTGATTTTTAATTATACTAAATTATCAAATCAGTCAAATTAGTTTATTATAGTAAATTATCAATCTCTATCATCACTTGTTGCAACAAGATGATCTTTTATGATATCTCGAATTTCACAGCAGTTTGTTATAGCAATAATTTGTGAAGCACTGCGTAATGCAATCGAGTGACCACGTTTCTTTGCCTTTAGAAAAAAAAACTAGCAGCTGAGTTTTGAACTTTCTGCCGTTTTTTCTTTGAAATGTTTTGGTGAACCTGAAAGAAGAGAGATACTACAGTCAATACGAGAGAGGACAAGAGCAGAGATTAGTGTTTTTGTTGCGCTAACTGTGAGGTAGCCGTGGATAGCGGTGCACGCAGAATATAAGCTTTTTTATCCCATTATACATCCCCGTAGAACAATATAGGACTTTCTGGAACATTCTAGATTTAAATAAATATCCTCCTAGAAACGTGGAAAAAAAACTTTTCTAAGTAATTATTCTTTTGATTCGTAAACCGATACAATGAGTTGCACTACTAAAACTTGTAGAACATTTAAGTTGAAAGAGGGTCCCCGGCGGTGGCCCCATTTCATAATTGTACCGATTTAGTATTGGCTGAGATAAGGGGCCCTATCAAAATCAGTCAGAGAAATAATGGAGCTAAACTGAAAAGCTGTGCCCCAATAAAATCAAATCAAAATGCCATTAATTAATATAGTCTTTTTCTTTTTAAATATCGAACATTTTAGAAAATAGAATCAGACTAGTCTCCTCGATTATAATTGGCTATGTCGATTCCGCCCACTACTGGCTACTTCGACGTTCTGGCTCGTGTACTTCAGCCTATTCTAGCTAAGCTGGGCCACTACAGTTAAATTAGAATAGCATGTGCCCACTTCAAGACTAATTTATTATTCTAGGAATATTGTGTGCCCTTTAGTAACTTTTATTTATAATTCTTAGAATAACTGAGTACCCTAGCATGCAGAGGCGTATCTAGACTGTTTGGCGCCCGGGGACGAAATTCGCGCCTCGGGGACCTCATTCATTTTAAAGCGCCCCCTTTCCTTTCAACTCTCGAACCTTTTATTTTTCATAAATAAAAAATATCATGGCACATTTTGGCGCCCCTAACAAGCTGACGCCCGGGGGACATCTGTCACCACCCCCCCCGTGCCACCTCCCTTCGTTACGCCTCTGCTAGCATGCAAACTGCAACAACCAGTAAACAACAGTAGCTGTTCTTAGCCTCTGGCCAATTCAATGACATCATTCGTGACATTGTAGTTTTTAGGTCATCATTATATTTAGTAATGGACATCGCTGGCGCTTCTTCAGCTAAGCTTAAATAGGATTTTTTAAAACCCCTTTTTCTAGGTTTCATTTTTAAAACAAAACAAGTTCACACTTTGAACTGATCCCATTTATTGTAAATAAATTTATGAAATGGTATTACAATTACATTTTTACACAGCATTTTCTTTGTAACATATTATTATTTATAGAACCCAAAATAGTATTCATTTTTATTATTTTTTTTAAATAGAACATATGAAAGACGAAAGTGCACAATTTTTTATATTCACTTTTAAATTTAAGTGAATTCGTATGAAAAAACATAATTTTATATTTAAAAGAATGTTAGCTATTTATTTTCTTTGAATAAAATCCCTTTTCAATGACATACAAATGTAAAAGCTAAGTTATGTGAACCATTTATTAAATACATTAATGATTATAATGAATTTAAACCTACATATATGTAAATATGAAAGAATTTGTTTTAAAGAAAGCAGCATCCACAAATTTGGTCCAAATCCGTCATTAAATAAATGGTTAAAACCCCTTTTGTTATTTCACTATTATTCTCCATAAAATTTAATATACAGAATGAAATGACATCAATGTAGATTCCTTCACTTACATGTTAAATGTTAATGCCGATTAAAATAGCATCTTTGATGTAGAGAAAGGGCGTTTAGTTCAAATCAGCATAAATGCATCATTGTTGATAATACAAAAATTAAGCTTTACACGTTGAGTAGATATAACAAGAGAAAGGGCGGAGAAAGGTTGTTTTTTTTTTTTTTTTTTTTTTTTTTTTTTTTTTTAATAACCAATTTTTACTGTACTTCAATTCAAATACGCAACGCTAATTTTTAAGAAGAAAAAAAATGGTGTTGAAAAATTAAAAAAAAATAAAAACCAAGTGGACAAGCCACGACCTCACTTAATGAACATATTATATTCAACAAAATGTCAATTGGAATTAATTTTTTTTAAAGAGTTTAATTAGCTCAACTCTATTTGGACACGTATTCTTTTGTGCGTATGGTTTGAATATGAAGGGGAAACAACGCGATACTTTAGCAATGTAGTGAAATTATGCTAATTTTTATTAAATGTACTTTTAAAAAAAAAAAAAATCTTGGATTGGAAATTTGGAAGAAAAAAAAAGAAAGTTGAAATTATTGTAAATAATCAAATTTTGAACTTCAATTGTAGACAATTAAAAAAAGAATCAATTATTCTTTAAATACATACATTTTACTTGTCGAATGCACTGTTTATAGACAATGCTCAAGATTTGAAAAAAAATTTTAATGAAAATTATTTACGTAATCAAAGTACCGTAACTGCGTGCCTTAAAGAACCCATATTTATATCAACAGCCAAGACAGTTGTTTACATTCTTTACGTCACTGCCATTTCAAAAGACTTCTGGAAACTAAATTTGTGTAGGCTTCTTTTGATAAATCTAAAACTATTAGCTAAACCAGCTGGCCACTTTCCTAAAAGGCCACGTGATCCCACTGACGACCTTGCTCAAGACACTCTCGTCATTTTTCTCCTTAATCTTTCTGTATTCCTTCTCAAGCTCTTCCGTTCTTCGTATGTGCTCCCGCCGTTCCTGCTCTAGCTGAATCGCATGTTCCCTCTGTCTCTCTTCTCTTTCACGTCTCATTTTTCTCTCCAGCTCTTCGCGCGTCTTCTCTTGCTGTCTTAAAATCTCAGCTTTTCTCTCGTCTGCAAGTCTCTCCTGCTTCAACATCAGCTCGAACTGTTGACGAACTCTTTCAGTCTCTTCATCAGCTTTTCTCTTTAGCTCCTCTTCTATCTTTTTAATCCTTTGACTCTCCTTTTGGTTTCTGATGGTGAATTTGATTTCATCCGATATTGTTGATATGATGGACTTGACCGTCTGAACGATTTCATGTAGGGCCCCGGTTCCTCTGTCTAAATCACAAGTGCTTTTCAATAGCGCTTCTGCCCGAACAAGGAGTGCCTCCAAGAGGTCCAGTTTTGTTTCGAAATGGTCACGAGCCTGAATCTGCTCCAGCTTTTGTAGAATGAGACTAACTTCTCGCATAGTCTCGTCCCTTATAAGTGGCTCCTGTGCATCAACCATGACGCGCATACGGGCATCTCTGGCTTCCTCAAAATTCTTGTCCGTGTATCTCTGACCTTTTGAACTCAGTCGGTCCACTACCGATAACAGCTGGCGCAGTTGTTTGTCTCTGATGTCCTCATCTTTTGTTAAATTATTGAATAGAACAATTCTGTTATTACACTCTGACAGTAGAGATTTAAAAGCTCCCGTTTGTGACCTGCACCAGTCTTCAAACGTCTGGCCAGTTTCTTCGCTCTCACTCTCGAAGGTGTCTCCATTAGACATGAGCAAAATACAAAATTCTTTAACGAACGTCTCACCAAAGATTTTCTTCAAAAACACAATAGTATCTTGCTCCTCTCCCGTAAATCGTTGGCCGTACTTCACGACCAGGAGAAACGCGTGGTAGCCCTTTGGGTTTGTGGCTATGGCTTTTTCCATCCCAACCATGACGAGTTTCACCGCCTCATCCGTGTTCATCCGTGTGTCCCCGACGCCAGGTCCGTCGACAATTTTTAGAATTCGGCCGTTGAAGTCACTCACCTCGTAGTCGATTCTCTTTGTGACTGACGAGAAGGCACCGCTGCTTTTGAAAGCTCTTCGTTTGAGGATAGCATTTCCTGCTGCACTCTTCCCGTTTCCGGTTTTGCCTATAAGAAGCAGATCGACATCACTTGACTGCATCATGTTGGAATAGCTGAAAAATAATGTGTTTAAAATATGTTTGACATTAAAAATAATATTACTGTAAATGTAAAATTTTGGCATGGGGATGAAACGACATTATTATTTATACATACACAAAATGTCGTATTATGGAAATTGTTTAAATGAACTTGAAAAAAAAATTCAAATTACCAAAAAAATGAACAACTAATTTCTTTCAAAGCTATTTATAAAGGTAAATGTAAAAAGAACTAGCACTTCCGTTCCACAAATACAAACGAGGTTAAAAACATTACAAATATCAGCAAAGGTTTAAGGTTTGAGGCATTAGACTTGGGGCACTGGACTTGGGGCACTGGACTTGGGGCACTGGACTTGGGGCACTAGACTTGGGGCACTGGACTTGGCACAGAATTTTTTTATCTTTAAGGCAAGCTCCACTACAGCTCTTCTCCGAGTTCCGGGAAAATTAAAAAGTTGGAAGGGGTGATTGAAGGGACGCTAAGTGTTTTAAAGAAATGTTTTTTTTTGGGTTGTTTTTTTCCTTAACCAATATGATTAACTAGTCATTAGAAGTGTGTGTACCAGGAATATAGCAGGTGGAAGATTGTGCAACATATAGAGTTCGTCAGACGAAATCTCTTCGACCACCTTAAACATCGTATACGCTGTGAATTGTGTTACTTCATCTTCATTTCTTTCTATTAATTTTTTAGAAGACTTGGAGCTCGGAGCAGTCAGACATTTTACCAGCTCCATGTGAAAAGACCCCTGTTCCAGACCTCCGAGCTCCAGCACCAAGCTTTGGAACGTCTCAAGGGGTCACTAGGATCACATATGTGCTTCTAGTTTGGTTATTATTTTAGGATTATTGTCATGCCAAGGTACATTTTGATGATGAACTAATTGCCCATTCAATAATGCAAGGGGAAAATCACTTGACGGCAGGGACATTGTAGCAGTTTTTTTGTTTTGTTTTTCTAAGTGAAAATTACATAACAGTATTTTTTTGTTTACTTGTAGCTATAGGATGATTGTGGGCCCTCAAAATAAGGAGGAAGAAGAAGCTGATTTAATTACAATCTTTGTAATCCCTGTAATGTAAGTCAGTGAAATTTATGAGTCAAGAACAGGCGAGAATATACTATTATCAGTAGTTGAATTTTGTGTCGTAAATTCTGTCACAGTTAGGTAGTGTGTTACTACCTCCAGTTTTTGATAGAAAATAACATTGTGTTGATATATTAGGCCGTACCTGAACACAGTAAACAGAAAAATGACACCGAATTTCAAGTGACTGTACTCTTAAGCTTTACCGTTGTTAAATAGTGTTATACTTGTTATCTCCCTTAGATCTTGTGTTGTTGTTTTTTTTTGGGGGGGGGGAGGATCGATTAAAATGATGTCATTGTCCCGCTGGCAAGTCACTGGTACAACGTCACACATATCCAGTGGCGTAGCTAGAGTATTTGGCGTACCGGGGGGGGGGGCACAAGATTAATTTTAAAGAGCCTCCCTTTCTTTTTCCAAC